CTGCTGTACATAAGAGATCCTGCATACTTACAACACATACTGCAGATATACATCAATATCACGAACATTGACCTTTTATAATGTCTCATGCTGTTATCCCCCACCTCGCTTTTCAAATATTTTTGGCCTGGCAAGTCTTACACCTCCACCTTGCCCCCCCCCCGAATATCGGCAAAATTTAGGCAGGTGGAGGGAATTCATCCATGCAGGCCTAAACTGATTGTCCAAATAACGCAAACAGGTTGGCAATTTCGAACAGCACAAATCAAATCATTTTAAAATAAAAATGTGGAATATTTCCTATTGTCTTAAACTTGGAGACAGTTTTGAAGCGTAGTATGTCTGCTCGCAAGCTCATTATTAATATTTTGTGATCCCCACGTTTTTTTTATTTTTTACAATAAGACAAAAGATCATAGAATCATTTAAATAACTCCCGAATTTGGGATTGATTGTTTCCGACGGATTCAGAGTATTTCTTTCACAAAACTGAAGTACTTGGTGTAGTGCAACCATAAGAGTGGGTCCGACTCGGAGTTGACTCGAGGTGGGTCCGAGTTGGCGTGGGTCCGAGTTGGTTTGGGTCCGAGTTGGTTGTGGGTCCGATTTGGCGTGGGTCCGAGTTGGTCCTGGATCCGAGTTGGCATGGGTCCGAGTTGGAATTGGTCCGAGTTGGTTTGGGTCCGAGTTGACCTGATCCCCGCGTACGCACGTACCGTGAAAAGGCCATCGATATTAAATTCTATATCAAAAAGGTCTACGTGCACAATTTTCAGTTGGCCTGGTGTGCCTGCATGTAATTTAGTAATTAGCTGAGCAGCTGGGTTTCTGTACCGGTGGAGGAGAACGTCTGGATGTCTGGGTAGCTTGTTTGTCAGCTCTTGTCTCAGGTACTGAAACGTCACTCAATTCGTGGCATAGCCCAGGTAACGTTGGACTCCGTTCCCTTACATTTTTACAAGTTAACTTAACAAGCAAACAAATGCTTACCGACATGACCGAAACAAACCCTAATAACAAGTCTGCCTAGGCTAGCCCCACTAGTGTGGCACGGAGTCTCACTCCCGATCCGAGAGTGAGAGTCCGTGCCACACTAGTGGGGCTAGCCTAGGCCTGCTTCAATTTCTCAAATTGAGAAATACTTCTGTCGATGTTCTGTCGATGTCATATACTTGAGGGACACTTGTTGAGAAGTATGATGTAGTTTCAAGATGTCACGTACAGGTACAGTCGTTTTCATAGATCCGGATTCATTACATTCCCTATCGGTTGAAATGAAAACCTACCTCCTTTGTAATGTTCCTCAGAATTACATCCTCATCCTACAACTTGGAAAACGACTGTACTTGAGGGAAATTCATTTCTTTCATGGCTGATTAAAATCCTATAGGCATTGGTATTGTAACGGCCCCCGAATCTGACTCGCCAAGAATATAACCAGAAGCCAGTAATTTACAGTTTCAGTAATTTATTAAACAAAATGTAGTTGGAGGGGAACTAAATTGTCTAACACTTACATTTCATTAACCAAGCCACAGCAGTGCGGAGTTGTCCACTGGTACTAATCTCTAAGAAATAAAATGAACCTTACACAGCCAATGCCCAGTCCCAAATCCACACTGGGCTCAAACTACAAGAGGGTTTTAAAGGAAAATACAGGAACAAGTCAGTTCAACAAAGGAAGTTCCAGTCACACTAAAAAATAATGGCTAATCTTATGTAGCATCCCACTGTGTGGCCACAGCCAAGGACCCATCTGGCTGAGGCCAGGCTGCAGTATGTAAGACATTTAATGAGTGCTGCTTTGGTTGGCACAAAAATAACTTTGATCCTGTTAATTGTTACAGTATCTAACCCTGAAAAATTGTCGCTCGGCCTATAAAGCTCCTTCAAAGAAGAACATTTCCACACTGTTCATGGCAACAGTATTCCTGTTACTTTCTAGTTGGATGTCACTTAGTTTCATTTCAACAGGTCAATTCATCTTTCACTTTCAACTTCCTGCTACCCTTGCACTCAATCATTGCAGAGGATTCTGTCGGGATCTATCTTTTCATGGATACTGAATAAAGAAACGTTTTGATAGCAGGGGAGTTCATGTCTATCTGGTCACTGAAGCATCAGGCTTTAATTGCTTTAGATGTTGCCTAGTTTAAAGAGTGGGTAATTTGTTGACTTTGTTCATTAGTTAGGTGCATTGTTAATTTTGTTGGTATTTCCCTTAGAGGTATGAAAATTGCTCTATGTAAGTCCAGTTTGGTATGTTTAGACATACTGCCAGTCAGTTATAGGTCAACTACCCATGTGCCGTCAATACGCTAGATTCTGCTTCTTCTTCAAGTCATCATTCCCATTCAAGTCAAGTTCTCAAGATGAGTTTCCCCTGTGTTGTGTGCACCAAGGCTGTCAGGAGAAACCAGAAGGCTCTCCAGTGCAGCCGTTGTAACAGACGCCAAGATCTGGCATGCCACACAGGGTTCTCTGCTGCAGACTCTGAGCGGTTCATGAATGGTTTTTCTGAGCTTGCTTTGTAGCATTGTGTGACATGGTTCTCGTCAGAGAATCCAAGATGTGCCACAACCAGCGGAGGAGTGCCAGGCAGATGCAGGGGCGTGTATTCCAGCTATAGGTGAGGTACGTGAGCGGTGACCTGAAGGCATCAGGGCTTCCATCTGCTTGCAGCCATCTGCACGTTCCAGCCATATGAAGAACCCAAGAACGCAAATCTTTTCAGAGCTACACATTGTCAAAGAGATACTTATTGCTGCATTACAAAAATAAAGGCTCTTCTCAGAGCCACACTCCACCCCCCCCCAAAAAAAATATATAAATAGATTTTAACTTCTGGGTTTTTTGGGGGGGGTTGGAAGTTCTGCCCAAGTGCCAGATGGAAATTTTCAATCAAATTTTGTTTTATCATGTAAGGCTCAGGCCCCAAAATGGACTTAGTCTCAGACGGAACCTACTACGGCAAGCATCGGGTGCGCATCCTTCAGCACTTCCGCCATGGCAACACGCACAACATCAAGGAGGTTGCCGTCAACACTCACCTCTCCTTGGCTAGGCAGAGGGACTACCTACATGGCGACAACTCAGACGTAATTGCCACAGACAGTCAAAAGAACACTGTTTACGCACTGGCCAAAACAAAAGGGGTAAATATAATGATTTTTTCAGTGTAAGAGTTTGCGATTTTCGTGTAACATGTACCCTGTATCTTTTGCCTCCGAGTGGCAAAAGCACTTTTTATAATTTCCTTTTTTTTTCACCTGGCTCCCTATCTAATGTTGCCAGTGTCACAAGTTTTTTGAACCTGTTTTGGAATGTAAACAACAAAATAATGACATCCAGAGAAGAGGAATCACTTTTCCATATAACCCATTCAATGTCGCACATTTATTTTATTCCTCCCACTCCTGACAGATAAGGACCCCGGAACAGTTTGCCATGGACCTTAGCCGTCATTTCCTGACGACCTACGAGCAGGTTGTCCGGACGGAGATTTCGGTGGAGGAAGCCCCATGGCATCGGATGGACCACTCTGGCAAGGAGCACGTGCATGCCTTCATTCATCGACAGGAAGCCAAACGATTCTGCATTGTGCAGCAGGAGAAAAACGGTACTTTGAACAGATGACCTAGAGTTTATCATAATCGATAGACTGAGCTTCGATTTTTGAATCAGTGCCTTCAAAGTCTGGTTTAATTATCCAGAAATCACTAGGTCATTTCATGTTGTTTTGTTAAATTTGGCCCTTTTGTTTTTTTAAATAATCCTTTGAAATATCACTACAAAATAGTTGTTTTCTGCTGATGCCTAGTTTTGATAACAATATATAAATGTGATCCACATAAAATACACTCACAGAGGTATACTTCACAGCAAACCAGTTCAACTATAGAAATAAGTAAACTGGAGAATCTTCCCACCCACGAATAAAAACCATCCGCTCTGACGCTCCAGTGTACTTCATAGACAAAGTTCAACGTCATTTTTGTTTTTCTTTGTCAAAAATTGACTGGCATGTATGAAATGAGATGTATTTATTCCCTCCCCCTTCCAGGGCTCCCCAAAGTGTCATCAGGTTTGAGCGACATGAAAGTGCTCAAGACAACCAAGTCGGGATTTGTCGGCTTCGTGCGGGACAGATTCACCAGCCTGCCGGAGACCACCGACCGCATCCTTTGCACATCCGTCCGTGGGAAGTGGTCGTACTCCAGCGTTGCCGGGATAGACTTTGACAAAACTTGGTGAGGGCTCAGAATACAAACATTCTTGGGTTGTTACTCTACGTACTGCATAACATAGTTTGAGACTAGACAGTGTTGACTACAAGTGGTGTAGTAAAACTAGGCTCCCGAGATAATATATGGAACATGGATGCTGGACTCGGGAACCACTTTGTCAACTTTCAAGGTGCTACTATCGACCATCTGCCCAAAATAAACCATGTTATATTCATTTTACTGTGACACATATAGGTACATCCCATGCCCTTCCATTTTTTTATGCCTAGTAGGACGATGTTCACACGTGCACTACCACTGCAGTGTAACAGCTCAGCGATGGCTTCTATTAAAAACTCAAATGAAAGTAACGATAAAGGTTGGTCGCCAACCTTGCCTGAATGAGACCCTGCCTCAAAAAAATTAAACCAATGCAAAGTTTTATCATCGGATTCCATTCGTCCTCTGTCTTGCAGGGAGATTTGCAAGAATACCATTCTGGACATCTTTGCCGGGCCACCAGAGACGGGTATGTACTCCCCCTCTGTGCAGCAGACGTTGTACCAGGCTGCCCAACAAATCATGGCCAAAGTACCTCAGGTAAAGCTCTCAAAAAGACTCGCTCTCGCCCAGCTATCAAAGACTCCTCTCCTCCAAAATAAATCCTTTGTGTCCGACTGGTCGACTTTCAGTCCCGGACCTTTGACGTGCTGTTTGAAATTTTTGGTTTGATTTTTCAGGTGGATAAGGTGGAGTTAGAGATGCCCAACATTCACTACCTCTTTGCCGACCTCAAGAAAATTGGAATGGAAAACAGTGGAGATGTAGGTTTCAGTGTTGTGTTTATCCTAACCAACGTGACTCCAGATAGCATTGAAACTTCAGGACTCTGCAGCAGTCAGAAGTAACATTGTACATGTCCCAAAGAAATGCTAAAGACACCTTCCACACATTCCTAACAGAACATTTTTAAGGCTGGTTCATACTTCAGGGGAACGCCAAATCAAAGCGAAGTCACAGAATGCTTGCAGTGACATACTTCTCTGAAACCTTTTACACAGCCCGTGGACACTTCTAAGTCGCCCTTTCATCAGAGGTCACTCTTGACACTTCCCACAAAGCACCCCCTCACATACCACTAACAAGACACCCCTTAAAACTCCCTTGGCTCAACCTGGATATCCCATATGACTAAGACACCCCAGAGATAAACCCATACCTCATAAGCCCAAACTTTAATAATTCCTGTTTTTCAGAACCGGCGAGACCAAAGGCCATTTTGAAGTTCACTTCCTTGTTTTTTGCCAGATCCTGGTGCCCACTGATGAGCCACGCGGGTACATCCGTGCTGCTGTCTGCCGTACCACAGCTCGTCTCTGAGGAGACCAAGTGTGACCCAAGAACCAAACGTCAGAAACAGCCTAAAGAAAGGCCTGTTTGTCCTTTCTGTTTAATTTTCAGGTTAACGACCTCAGTAACTTTGTTAGGCCCTTTGGTCATGTTTTCCATCCGTGTTCAGTTCGCCAACATTGTATGGTAGGAGTCCTCAGTAGAATCTGTCATGTTGGTATTCAATTTACATGAATTCTTAACCTGTTTTGGGGGGGAATGCCTGATTGACTTGAAATTTTATACAGCAGTAGTAGGGATAAGTCAGTGATGTCTTGTTTATTCTTTCGATTACATACAAAGTACTTAGAGAAGTATATTTTCAGGTTGTCCAGCAAAACAGTACCTCAAATAAAATACATGTACGGACATGGATTCTCTTATAAATGAGATACATATACAGTGTTGACATGGATCTTCATTGTTTACATTTGTATGTATTCTCATACATTGTGTCCATCATGCTTTTATTTTCATTCCTTGTTTATTTAGTTTAACCTTTTTCATCTATTCTTTGCTCTGACATCAGTGATCTATGACATTCATGATGAGAAAGAAAACACCCTTTTACTGAAAAAGAGGTGTTTCAACAAGTTTGCATGGCACATCCATATATACACAAGCGTAGGGAAAACGTCAGTTCGAGAATGACCCTTGACCCTTTATTGCCATGTAACACAGAAAGCTTCTTTGAGTTTTATCAAAAGCTGCACAAGATCTCATAGAAACAAGTCATGAAAGGACAATTTGATAATTGCAGCTGTTTGGGAATAGCGAGCCAAATTTCCACGGGGGTGTCAAATTCCCTCTTCCTCCAGTCCGTGCAGGGTTAAAGGAAGTATGTTATGTGCATGTAATGGAGAAAGTGAGGAGCAGTCATATGTTTACTGAACTCAGGGTATAGCGGTCAGTTTATCTGCCATTCCTCACCAGTGATCTCTATCCCCGATGACAATACTGTAAATTGTCGTAGGTCAACATCGTAGTGCAGTGGTCAGACCCCCTCCAGTCAAGCCCAGCCCCTTGTGAGTATAGCCTTATATCCTTCAACACTGGGTGGTTGTGCAGACGTGATGTACTTTGAGTTGTCTGTCCCCTTCTGGCTCTACATTTCATGTAGTGGTGATTTCCTAGGGATTCCAGTTCATGTTTACCCAAGTATACATTTCCCGAGTGTCCTGAAATATACAGAAATTTAGTTGCGGTCACAAAATGCACGATTATCAGGGGACCTACTTTGAGCCAGATCCTCTGGTTCCAGGGAAATATTCCAGACTCTTTATCAAGCACATTTTTGGCAACCCACGGCGTAGGACCACTGGTCCACCCCTTAGGGTGGGAACACATTTTGTTTCCTGAGAATGAGTAGGCTAGTCGAGAACCAAGGTTAAGAATTTGACTAAAAAATGCCTCCTGTTTGGTTATCTACGTTCAGTCGTGACGAATTTTAGATTTCAGAGCACACAAATGCAGGCAGGATTCAATTTTCATTTCTTCACCTTTTTATTGCACTTCAAGACTATACATTTCAATTTAGAGAGTACACATTCCCGAATCGAGAATTCCTTAGCTATACGAGTTCTTATTTACAACGAAACCAATTGTGCCAGGTATAATAAATGCCACCGATATTAAACATGATTTATTACTGTGACAAGTATTTTATCAATTTGCATTGGTAAATGTATGATAATGAAACAAAATGCATTTGCAATTTTATTCTGAATATCCAGGGATTTTACAACACAGAGACGTCAGTTTGGTTAATTTTGTGCGTCTCCTTTTTAATCTGTCCATTACATCACTGAAAGTCAAATATATTTAACAGTAAAACAGAAAATCTGCGCTTGCAATTTACACCATTTGGTTTTGACATTTTTGTGGGATAATAAAACAAGTCACTTTCACACTTTAAAGGTTAACAGAAATTGAAAACATTTAGCTCACGTTAAGTGAATTTCAAAATAATAATAAATACGTAACCATTTCAAAAACGTCATAAATTCAATGTTCACCCCAAACTTGTGACCCCAAAATTAATAAGAATGATCCTGCGTTTCCCCGCCCACAAAAAATATCACCTTTTGGCTATTTGCGCTCCCAGGCAGATTTGATGACGTCATCAGCAGAATGCCTACATGCAGAGTGCACGTGTAACACTGCAGGATGGGACATTGTACATACCGTATCGCATGCTTGCAGTAGACCATGTTGTGTTCGATGTAGCTTGGCCCCAGGCAAACACTGTCTCGGTTCAAGGTAATTCATGGTAAAATTTAAAAGACACAGTCCTACCGTGTATTTCTTGAACTGAGGCAGTGTTTGCCTGTGGGCCATGGTAAGCATGCGATACTGCATGTACTGTGTGCAGTCATGCAATGTACACTGCACATGTCGGTGTTCTGCCAAATGACATCAAATCAGCATGGGAGTGCGAGCGGCCAAAAGGGGATTTTTTTTTTGTGGGTGGGGAAACGCAGGATCCCTCGATTCATTTTTGGGTCAAGATTAATGGGGTAAACATTGAAGTTATGACGTTTTTGAAATGGTTAGTATTTATTGTTATTTTTAAATACTTCACATGAACTGAATGTTTTCAATTTCTGTAACCTTTAAACAACTGCAGGTGCAGTAAACAAGGGGAGGACACCAAATATTAAGTGGAAGGGGGGGGAGTGAATTAATAGAGATGATATGTGTAAAATATTGTGTAAAATTATGATGTGTAAAATAGACAGTTTTGTTAAAAGCACAAATTGGGTGAGGACCAGTGGCAACCTATTTCCACCACATGGCATTTTGTCTTCAGAACCAGTCATTGACCATTATTCCCGCTGCTTAGCAAATTGGGCTCCACACAGGTTTGTGTGCTAATGGGGCCTTACTTTATTTACACGTCGCACTTTGCTATTGAGCCAGTGAGGGCCCACAGTCCACTGAGCCCCCCCAAGAAAAAGCACACATAACATCTTCAGTCCTTCAGTATGGAGGTCTATCCGCCTCGAGCAGAAGCACCCCCTCATTGGTTGAAAAGAGCCATGCTGGTCGGGACTGTTCATTTTGTTGGTGGGGATGCAACTGCAACACTTGCGTGTTATAGTTGTTCATGGAATAGCATTGCGCAGTTACTACCAAAGGAGCCCCTGTTGCTTACAAAATTGCCCCCTCTCTTGGTCCAGCTCGGGGCTCATTGCAAAGAAAACTTTCACAGTACTTTGGTCAAATTCCTCCCAGCTGAAAAAGGCAACTGAGGAACCAGCAGGAAGTATTTTTACGTGAACAAAAATATGAGCACATGTTCAACATATTCTGGTGCTCATGTTTGGTTAAACTGCAGTGGCACCGCACTCACACGCACATGCTTCAGCTTGACGTGTGCGTGCGTTTGGCAAATCACGACACCTTATTGGTCGAAGAGGCATGCAACATGTGCGTTCCACCTGTCCACGAGCACTGCGCTACCGCAGTAATGGCTTCTAATTCTGGTGGTCGAATTACACCATAGTCTAGAAATTCATCTGAGATTGGAAGAGGCTCAATTTCATCCAGTGCCCTTGGATGGGCAAAGCATCTTGGGTCTCACTGCCATCAACAAAATGTGCAAACTTAGATCTAGTCTTGTCATAATGAAAGACAACTCGTTATCAGATGACAACTCCTGATCAAACACCGTACTTGCAAACAAGTGTTCACTTTTTAAAGTTTTTTTTAAACATAATAAAGAAAACAGACTTCAAGAAGAAGTGCTAAGTATTTTTAGCCGGTTCCCCCTCTGAGGGTGGCAAGGTGGCACCGACCATGCCGGCCGGCAGGGTGACGGCCTCGGTGCTGGTGGGGTAAAGGTGGCTGAGTTTCTTCCCTGACTCTTTACCGATGCGCTGCTGGAGTTTCCGCACTCTCTCCTGTAGAGGCCACAAAAATTGAGAGGGGAAACATTAGCCAAAAAAAAAAAAGATGACTTGACAATTACATATCGCTCAAGGCTTGGGGCGCACACTAACTGATGACAAGTTTGTGGCCAGTGTCACGGTGCTGCACAGCATCAACATCTGCTAAGCGTGCAAAATACCTGCTTAGCAAGATTAGGCTACCAGCCAAATGCCCATGTTATGTACCTTGTTTCCAACTGGTTCCCTACTGATTTTTGCTCTGGCCAAATTGGCTCAGTAACCATTCATGCTCAACTGCAGCACCACTCAATTTAGTTCCGGTTCGTCCAGAGTTGGTGGTGATTAAGTGGCTGCAATGGGGGGGAAGGCCCCATTTTGCTCCAATGGCGCAAACTGCAGCTCAGCCAATTTTTCCCAAATGGTCAGGAGATTGTTCATTTCTGAACGACCAGCCCACCGGTGCATACACCCTGCACACACACTGACCTAGAAGGAGGTTGAACTTTAAACAATTCACAGGAAAACAAACACAAAGTCAGACTTAGGTCGGTAATTGCCCTGCAAACGCAGGATGTTCAACAATGGAACTGGCAACGATGTGTCATTGTCAAAGGAATCACAGACTCAATCGCAGGTTGAAATTGTTAACTTTAAATAAGTAACATGTATACCATTGGGACCCCTTTGGATGTTACTGATCCCTTTTTGAAGTACATGCATGATAACATGCACTTGTCTCACTCTCCAATGCATAGGCCCATGTGGAATGAGCTCAGGTACAAACTAACCAAGAAACAATACAGCAGAAACAGCAAATTTAAACACTATTCGTGCAATGGGTAAGGGCCTGTAATCTTGGTTCAAGTTGCAAGTTAAGGCCTCGTTACTGTGCATGCTGCGTGACACAGTGCAAGCACAAAAGTAGTTTTTCAATAACATCATGAACCAAGACTAAGCTACAGGTATGGGTGTATTAAAAGTAAACAAGGATTTATTTACACCAAAAAAACATTAGGAAAACACTGTCACTAAAGACAAAAAACTTCTAATTGGATAACTTTCAGAAGCTGCATGTATCTTTAGTTTCCAACAAAATGGTGACAGAGCCCCCTCCATGGTAACAGTAATGATTTGCATTCTCAAATTTGTGTATGAAATCAACGCGATTCTCCTCAAAAGTATTTGCATCAGCCTTTATATCACACAGCAATATTGTAAAGTTTAGGCTGGATCTAGCATTTTGTAGGCCTTGGGCACTAGTGTTCCATGGGCCCTGCTCCACCAATTTCACAGTGCTAGTTAGTGCTTGAGCCTTCCATTTGGCATGGATTCTAAGCCTCAGTGAGCTATGAACAAGCTAGTTTGACGTTTCCTCAACACAGACAAGTTACGAGAGAGATGCTGAAACTCATCTCCTGCGCATGCAGAAAATGTTGGTGTTTTCGGGTGTGCAACTTTTCCTCGGATCAGCCGATTGCCTCATTTTGCACTTCACACTCATGCCACTGAACCTCCCCCAAAAATTGCGCAAAGTCTTGTAAAGACTGGAAGTTCCTCAATCAGTCAAAGTCCAAATTGCATAATTCCCTAGCCCTCAAATTTCAGGAATGCAACTTGGAAGAAACAAAAAACGAGGAAACTCCTATTTTTGCAACAATTTGTTCAGTATTTTTCAATTTTCAATGGCACAAGTCTGAAGTGAAAAACGAGGAAATCAGCGGATCCGAGGAAAGGTTGCAGGTCTGAAATTTGTTCGTAGGCTCCCTAAGTTTTTCATAGGCCCTAGGCACGCGGTGCCTAGTACTATGCCTATTGAATGACCCAGCCCTGCTTCAGTTCAATTCGATACTGCACAAGATCAACAGCCATGCATAACTACGTACAACTGACTACCATGCACATTGAACAATACACTCTCCAGCACCAGCTAAGAAAGCTAGGGGGGGGGCAATAAATTAACTGCATGCAGACACGGCCAGAAGTGACGACTGACAAGCCCACACACTCAGCGTGTACCTACATGAAGGAAGGGGCTACAAGAGGAGGAATGGGGGGCCTGGATAGGGTCACAGAATGGAACCCCCAGGGAAGTCAACCAGGGACTTCCGTTTGGCTGATGTCTTGGCGATATGCAAATGAAGTTTACTGAGCCGATCCTGTAACGATCAGAAAGATGAAGCCACTGTAAAGATTAAGACTTTCTTTTCTTTCATCGCGGTTGGTGGGTTCTAGGTGCTTGGCTGCAGTGGGCACCCTCGGCCAAAAGGCAGCATGTACACGTGAGATTCAACATATGATACTACATCACACATGGGTACATTACAATAGAACAATAACCTCAGGGCAAATCCACTAGTTAACCCAAAGGGTTCCACATCTCAACTTTCTGAGCGTCAAATATTATCGTACCAAATTCATGAAATAGAACTGCTCCATTTGTCCCAAGCACTCCAATGGACAGGATTTTACTGACTGACACGTGACATCATTTGCTCAAAGTGACAAGGCACCAGGGTATATTGTCTACCTTTGCTTGCATTGACATGTTCTTTCCTCTCACCACAAGAACTGGATGCAAGGCAAGAACAGGGTTGACCTGGGACAAATTTCAAGGAGCTGCTAAGTACAATCCATCTGCTCAGCATGGAAAAAGTTAGAAAAAAAAGTTTACCAGCCAAAATGTCATGTAGCGCAAACTCTCTGTGACTGGTTCCCTGAAACATTTTGTACAAAACAACAGAGATGTTGCTTAGCTTCAAGGCAGCTCCAAGAAATCGGGCCCAGATGGCAAGTTTCCCATGGGCCATGCACTGAAGAGTCAACACAGAGATTAGGAGACAAGTTTGGGGATGACATTCCTTTATTTTGACCATTATCTTTAATCCCGTTGTCAGAAGAGGACCATTACAAAGTCTGGACTATCCCTATTCTGTTTAGACCACCTTTATTGGCATACTCTGCAGGGAATTTTAGTTCAAGAACCCAAACTATGGCTGCATCCGAATCTGTTATCTAGAGCTAGGTCTAGGTCTTCGCTCCATTGGAAATGTGTGGAGACGCGTAGACAATAGACCTAGCCATAGCTCTGGAAGCCCGTTCGGACACGGCCTTAATAACAATTTTAAACATGTATGTGTAATGGCAATTTACACCAAGAACTGTATTCAAATACATCTATGCAACCTCAAATACACAGTTTTAGATTCAGCCTCGTCAATACAGTTGCGTGCCCTCAGAACAAAAAGGGTAGAACATAGGATTTCCTTTTTCAAATAAATTGTTCATTACTTGGGCTTTACACATACATCCATCCTTTTCTAACCAAGGAATTATAATGAAGAAGCTGTCGGATGTCTGACACGGTAGAACTGGGCCTCAATTTGAGAGTAGTTAGAGGTACTTCTCATCTGAAAAGACCTGACTCAGAAAAACTAACTCCTCCTTAAACTATGATTTGATTACCTGAGCATTCTGAACGATGTTGCTGATCACGGCTATCTTGCGTTTGGAGTTCATCAACTTCTTCACATAAGGGTCCAACTCAATGGGAGGCTCACGTGATTGGCCCAGCTGCTTCAGAACTGGACAGCGGGTGAAACAAACACACCAAAAATCAACTAGGGCTGTGTTTCCATGGGGTTCAACTGACACTGGGTACCTATTTCTCCCATGATGGGATACCTACCAAACTGCGATTACTATTAAACACCTGCGACAAGACATGACTCAGTTTGTCAATTCAATATTTTCCCCTTCAAAGTTCTAAACACGGGCAAGTATCTGTTATCTTTATTCATTTTTTTTGGTAGCGATTACTACCCTGCTGTCCATTAAGGTTAGGAATCCAAGTTTAATTCAATAAACGTCAAACAAGCTTTCCTAAACCATTTAAACATTTAGCCACCCTTTCAAAGCCTCAACCCCACCTACCTTGGTGTCTCCATACCTATGTATACTTTTGCATGGTACTTATTACAAAGTAATAAGTTGTACATAGAAATTATACAAATCGATGTCAGGGGGCATTCACAATATGCATATTCAATTTAAATAAAAAAAGCCACAGATGCAGAAAAGAAAAAAAAGGATACTATGCAATTTGGAGGAATACATTTTTGGGGGGACTGTTCAAACATGAATGCCACATCACAAACGTCTTGAAAAATCTGTGCACGTAAAACACCATTTACTCACTGTCCATCAGTTCATCTCTCTTGCAATTCATTTACGGGTACTTACCTTCATCAAGTTCTTCAATCTGTTGCCTCAGGTCCAGCTGGCTTTCCCTGTGGAAACAATTGTATTCTCAAAATAACTTGTACTACTGATGCCATGTAGTATGTTTGGAGCCACTGGTTGATTTGTGTGACTAGTTTTAATTGATTGCTTAGCACTAGCCCAGACTGGGGGCCAGTCTACTGGACTCCCCAGTCTGGGGCTAGTGCTAAGCATGCTAAGTGAAATCAAAGACATGGAAGATGAAGAAAACAACAGCATGCAACAAAGTAGACCCTAGCCTTTGATCAAGGCGCCCACGGCAAAATGGATAGTCAAGATCACACGACGAACTGCATGAAAGCCCGAAATTAACCATGCAGTAGCCGAGCTGTGTGTGTCGTGGACTGTGCGCGCCGCCGCAAGCGCATTTGGAGCTTTGTTTCCAGTGGTTTATCTGAATTATTCAATATGCTAATGTTATGAATTATTCACATTTCTCTGAACCAATCGTGTTTTGGGGGCTAAGCAGTCCGATCATGTCTAGGCTACTTACATCCATGGTGTTGCTGCACAACGGTGCGGCCTGGTATTTGAAACTTTTGCCATATCCAGTTAGAAGATTGACAAATACGTCTTGACCCTCCAGAACAGCCTTCACGGCCAACATTTGCTGTGGTTTCAATTTGTCGATTGGAATCCCAAGCTTCAGTGCTGCATATTTGAGGCAATTCGGGAAGAGATTGTCGTCTAGAGCTTACACCACTGCCCGAAAGGGCGCCGTGTTGAATATGCGCACCATTGCAATGATGAATAATTTATTACATGCACGACAGAGGCGATTGTTTTGATTGGTGGAGACTTATGCATATGTATATATTGTAAATATAATGAAAAACATAAGCTATGTGGGGCAGAACGCCAAAGGCGTGCGGGGCGTGCGTGCAGTTCATCGTGTAGTCTTTCTTCACGCATTGGTTTGGTGCTTAAACTAGTCTCCTCCAGCTCCTTGCTCTTGAGCGACTACCCATTTTGCTGCGGGCGCCTTGATCAAAGGCTAATTAGACCCGTAAACAGGGCCCGACGAATACTCCTCCGTCATATACTGGGCCCCTGTCCCGATTCATAGGGATTTCTTTCGAAAAATTTTCTCCGGGATATCCAGGGGCATCCGCTTGATTTTATGAGCTGAAATTGCACTGGTGTGTTCACTACTTACGGGGTAAACTATCTGCTAGGTTGTTAATTGTAAAAACACTCGCCTTTTCCTTGTTTGGAGGAAAAGTGTTGCTTTTTTTTGCCGTTTTCCCACTCTGCACGAATTTTGGCCTGACTTGTACATAACACAGACTATGGTTAAGTTATAGGATGTACGAGAGCCTGTCTAATGCGCACCCAGACTTCAGTACCTACGGATCTGGTTCAGATCTGCGAGAGTACCTGTCGATCTAAGTACTCGTAGAAAATTACGGCTGTTTTGTGTCGCAGCTAATACGCAATGCCCTTGGTTGGTTCCCTGTCCACACACACTGCTTGCGGCAAATCATTGGTAGTGTGGCTCGCTCTCTGTGACGTGACACGAAAGTGACGAAACAGCCATCAGTTTTGTGCAAGTGGGGCAAATTTCATCCGGGATGGGAAAATGGCAAAAGAAAGGCAATATTTTTTCCTAAAATGAGGAAAAGGCGCGTTTTCTACAATTAACAACCTAGCAGATGGTTTACACCGTAAGTAGTGAACATATCGGTGCAATTTCAGCTCATAAAATCAAGCGGATGTTTAGTTATGCCCCCGGATATCCCGAATTACTTTTTCAAAAGAAATCCCTATGAATCGGGACAGAGTCCAGTATACGACAGAGGAATTTTCGTCGGGCCCTGTTTACGGGTCTACTTGCCTTGATGCTTGAAATGAGGTACGCCTGGGCCTACTCAACGTGTTCAATCATAGAGCAAGGAAACAGTTTTGGGGGTTATGGTTCAAAATTCGGGGTTCATTACTTTTAGCACCCTGTTCCTATTATAAAGGAATAAATTGTACTTTTTTGAAATGACTTATGTAAACAAATTGTTGGTGATGTCTTCTTTTATACATGTATGTATAATATGACTGTAGGAAAGACCTTCCTCCATGCCTAAACTAATCGCCCAAGACTGGCGTTCTCCATACCTCACTAGCCGCACCCTCTCATCTACCTCCTGTACAGCTGGCCTTAGCAGCTCTAAGATTCCAGCAGCCATTGCATCGCGGTTTTCCGTGGGAGATATTGCCGGTTGTTTCGTACTCGTAGTTTCTGCAGTCATGGTCGCCGCCATCTTTGCTTTTCACTAGTAGGGGTCCTACTAATCAGCGTCAACACACCGTCAACAGGCGTCAACACATTGATAGTAACGTCAACACACCGCCAACACTTACAAAATGCATTGAAAACAGACGTATCGAACTGCAATGTATGCGCTTAGAAATAATTTCTATTTCATGAAGTTTATATTTTACTACATTTCAAGGGAGTTTTTCACGCGAAAAAATTGTCTCTGAGCAGCCCCGCCCTTCGCCGCCATCTTGCCTTCTCATGGCGTTTGGACTCTACCATGGTTTACTGTATAAAGGTGACCCCCTGTAGCGTAATGGTGTGGTCCGTCTGACTGAGAGGCAACATCGCGAGGCTAACGTCTTTCGTGGCTGTGTGGGGTCCAGTCCACTAATTCAAGCCCCTTTGAAAACAGTGTAAAATCAGCACTGTTCAGGGTCCAAAAGCATGCACGCCAACATCCATGAGATTTCTGAAACACAAATTGTCTGGTCACTTATCTTTCAATTTCTTTTTAATTTTTTGTGGGTTAACCAATTACATTTTTAATTATTCCCACAAAACAAAATCACCCCCGAAAAAGTGATTTTCCGAAGTCTGATTTGCAGCCATTTTTCAAGTGGCAACTCTCAACTTTCTCGGGCACTTAGGACCATTTTTCAGCCGTAGTTTTTAGCCCTTCTGCTCTCAGATGAAAGCTCTAAAACCCAGGGAGTTGATCCCGGCAACGATTCACACAATCTCGTCATTTTGGGGGCCAAACAATCTCCTTTTTTAAAAGACACTGTGGGGGGCACTTTTAATGCTAATGAGCTGGCCAGAAATTCTCACTTGAATTAGCGGTCTGCATCCTGCGGAGGGTGCTATTTTCGTGAAATAAAACGGCTTTCCCTCCCCCCCCCCAAATGTCGCCCACTGTTGTTAGCCAAATTGTATTTTAGGCATTATATTGCTATCGAATTGCATTTCTGTTAACTTAGAACGTGATTTGGGTGTGCTGACGGTGTCTTGGCGTTACTATCATGTGTTGACGCGTGTTGACATTGTGTTGACGTTGTGTAGACGTTAATTAGTACGACCGCTAGTGGGTATGCCTGCAGGCGGTCGCGTTGAACTTCAACACGGACGGTGACATATTTGACTACACGCTAGAAGGTTGCAGCGCACCAAGGACGCAATTCGCAAGTATTATATCACTGCATCCAATCACTTCCACGTTTGAAGAGGCTGTTTATGTTTGTGCTTAAATTCTGCGATCAGTCGATTGAAAGTAAGGAGGCAAGACACAAAATGCATAAAGGTATGTTAAATTCAGACTTTTCAGGCTGCAAATTTTTGTGGAAGAGTCTCTCAGGATGACTCGACACGTAAAATCAAAATAAAAATAACAGCAATTTACCGCGAACTAACGTACCTGTGAAGGTCATATTTCTTCATGAGCAGTGGGCGTGGTTTAAACTGAAGTGGCGTCACACTTACGAACCGGATAACATGTACTGTGTCGACTCCGCGGCGCGGGTGCGCGCGACGAAGTTCAACACAGATAGCCTCGGTTTCGATGCAGATATGCACAGACGGCGCTAATGACCAACATCGATCTGCAAAACTTTTCAGATCTCTCATTGGTCCATTTGCCCTGTCAGCGCCAAGGCTCAAAGGCGAGGCTCAGCCTAACAGATACCTTGTTGGACGTGGGGGAGGATTTGAGATCACTAAGAAATATCACTCTTAGTCGAACCATTTTTCTTTCGCAGAAACGTCAGCCTATAAGTATGCCCTCCCTCCCTAGCAGGATGAAGGCTAGAGAGAACAGGGTCACGTAAATAAAAAGATGTCCGGTCGAGTTTCTGCTCTTTGTTCACGAGTGAAAACGGGAAGTGACGGTGACGCAAATCATTTCTGTTTACAAAATGGCAAACGTTCTCAAACAGACTAACTTGCCGACGGGCACCTGACCCGTCTGATATCACGGAAACAGAGTTGAAAAATGTGAGGATGTGTGACCTTAAGAGATAAGGCGAAGTTTGTTTTTCATTGCCAGAGCCGATGTTCTTCATTGTTTTTACCCTTTTCCGTCCTTGGCTGCTCCAAGGCCTGGTTTCCTCACCTGACACACGGCAAGGCACAGACCCTGGGAGACAAAAATGTATAAAAGGGACATGATGACATGACTGCAACATTGACGGTGGACAAACTGACATCTGAAACGCCAATTCGCGAACCATCTCCAAGTTGCGAAGAATTTAAAGGTAATTTGTAGAAAAGATTTCCTTGTCTTTACTTTGAAAAATGCACTCAGCTGTACTTACAAATTTTTCATGGCAGAGTCAAACGTTGCTGCGCTCGCAAACTAGACAACGTAAGCCTCATGCCTTGGCTCCAGCAGATCCACGTGAAAGGTTTCAAGACCGTGAAAATAATCGAAGAAAATTCGTATATATACCCTGGCGTTGCGAAATTGTTGACTCAAGTCATGCCACTTAGACTTAAAATCGAGCAGAACAAAAGAGTTTTTTTTTTAACTCATCGCATAGGTGCACACTGAGGCGCGCAAGTATATGCGAGTTTGACGTGGAGCTCGCGGCGTCTTTGTGTAGACGCAGAACGCGTGTGAGAACCCGCTTGTAACCACCTGTCTTTCATTTATTTCGCCGATTGGGGGTGCACGTCAGCTTGGGGCGGATTGTGACTTATGGCTTGACTTAAAGCAACCGGTAACCAGCTTTGCCTTGTAATTTGACTTTGACCTGCCAAAAATTAGCTATTACTAACGCAAGTCCAAAGCTACTTGAGCGACCCCAAAGGCCGATCAATTTTAAACAAAAGTTAAATTTGATAAAAATACACTTCGTTCGACTAGCAGCGTCGACTTCTGATTTCAAGTATAGTCTGCCCTGCTGACGCGCGACGGGATAATGTGCGAATTTTGTACTTGAACAAAGAGACTTGTGACTGTAGCCTGGTATTTCGGACCAACTGACTTTTAACGTCAGTATGACGTCATTATTGGGACTCCATAGATTACTGTCACTAAGGGGACCACATAGATTACTGAGGGGGCTATTGGCAAGAATATTATACATTACTCCATAGATTACTGTCACTATGGATACTCCATAGTTTACGGTCACTATATAGAAGGGGTGTCACTGTTCGATGACCCGTATAACTTTTGACCCCTGTAACCTTTGACGTTGAAACTTTCTGAAAAAGTAACCAACTCCCCCTCTACCTTGTGTGTAAGTGTTAAGGTCAGAGGTCAAAGGTTTACGGAGTTAAGACCTTTTTTCCGAGGGGCACTATTTTTTTGGTGACCCCAAAATGTTTCCCATGAAAACGCTTAAAAATCACAAAAGATGACTTGAGATCCAGGTTTAGATACATTTTGCATCCGAATCAGGGCAAGGGCTATCCGTTGGGACCGAACAAAATCTTATGTTTTTCTTTATTTTTTCCAAAGTTAAAGGAAGTGGCGTCATAACTTCGGTGTTATACAAGATAGGAGGTTGGTGTCTGGGAAAAGTTGTTCGCCTCGAAGTCTTCTTTCGAATGGTACCGGTCTTGACCCCCTGCAATGTTCCGTTCAGGCGGGGTATAGAGTAGGGTCATACGGTGTATTAATGCATAATTCCTTTGCACCATGGGGAAGACTTACATCCATCATAACTCTTGACCCCCGACCCCTAGGGAACCAAATTTATAAAAATGAAGGAGTGCCTCCCTCTGACCTCTCATGTAGAAGTATGGCGCCATAGGTCCATTAGTGTGGTTGCTATGAGCGATTTTCATGTGCCTAGTTCCCGGACATGTACAAAACAGGTGGGCTTGTACAAATAGCAATAGGGGCTTAAAAAAATGACGAAGTACAAATCGAAAAATAGTCACTTTTGACCTGTCCAGAAATGATCGGTGGGCTCCACAGCAGTGTTATAGTCCAGGCCAATCCAAGACCAGACACAAGAGCATGCACAAGACAAGTCACAAGTAACAGGGTGAACAATGCTTTTTGGAGTTCATTTAAATAGGTTGTGACTTGAATTCAGACTGGAGGTCTTGTGCTGGTCTTGTGTGGCCTTCTGAAGGTCTTACGTGGTGTCGACTACAACACTGCTCCAGAACGTGTAATAAGCATGTTTTGTGTGACCTTTTTTTGATAGTTGTACCTGAAAAATTAGGGTTAAAGGGGTTAGGGTTAGGGTACGGGTACGGTTAGGCGTAAAAGGAACAGGTTAGATTAGGGTTAAGGGTTAGGGGTTAGGGTTGGTTAGGGTGAGGTGTTGGATTACACTGCAAAAATTGGGTGTTAAATTTAACACCCGTGGTGTTATCAGAAGACTACACCAACACTTTTCACTGGTGTTAAAATTTTGGTGTTATTTTGTGTTACTTGCAACACCTTCTAGTGCACTGTAACACTTATAGGTGTGCAAAGTAAAAATCATCGGTGTTAAAGTAGCACCCTATGGTGTGGTCATCTGATGACACCCAAAAGTTTTGATTTTAAGTTTTTACAGTGTAGGGTTAGGGTTGTGGTCAGGATTAGGGGTTAGGGTTGGTTAGGGTTAGGTGTTAGGGTAAATGTTAGTTATTAGGGTTAAGGGTGAGGGTTAGGGTTTTGGCTAGTGAAATGACCTGAACTGGACTGTCCAAAAACGATTCGCCTTGACTCTGAGTACAAAAAATTGACTTGCTGCCATCTCTTTCTCAGGTGCTGTTTTAACATAAAATCTGACAAAAATATTTTTTTAAGTTTGTGAGTTGTTGGCCTTGAGGATCGTACAGATGAACACGAATATTGCTACGCATTAGCAAAGCAAAAGTTTTATTATGTGACGGCCTTTGCCAAGAGGCCATGTGACCCATGCGCAGAGAAAAAAAGGAAACAGTTTTAGAGTATCCTTAGAAAGTCGTATGGGCTGATGACAAAAATTAAGTCTTTTCCAAAAGAAAGAAAACTTCCTTCAATTTTTACCTTCTTTGCTTTTTATATTGACTCTTTGCTATTTAGTTAAATCGTTTTTATTTACCACCAGCGACTTGTTCTCTGAGTACTTTGGACGCTGGGCAGTGGGGCACCCTGGGTATGGGTTCACGATTATTCACCCTGGGGGGCGTGTTCACGATTACGCCGCTAAAGTGAATTGGTGTAATCAACTGCTCACAAGGGATTTTTTAAATAATTATTTAAGGGGTCAAGTGTCATTGATTTCATTTCAACGGCATAAAATCATGAAGTTCCTGGGTGCACCCAGTTGTACAACTGTATGTTGTTTGATATTCATAACCCAAAGAGCGTGCACAGGGACCACTGTGAGTGCGCAGTTAGTGCAAGATGTCGCCTGTCATTGGCCTGTGCCTTTTGATTGTCGCCTCCACGTGCGCGTCGCCAACCCTGGAAACGACGAAGAAGCCCATCATTGAGCGTGAAGACGAAATTCAGCAATGTATTGACAACGACGCGTTGACCAGGGAGACGTTTGCAGCAATGGAGAGAATCGTTAAGGTAAATGACCCATTCATGCATGAGTGCTTCGTGATGCACGATTTCCTTTCGTTATGAAAGTTCAGCTACGCGTCGTTTTCAAGACGGTGACGCAATGATGATATTCACAAAAATGAGCATTGTGGTAAACCAAAATGCCACAATTTTTCTAGGGGTAAGCACTTTTTCAGCCGGGGGTGTTTTAGGGGGCCAAGCACTCATCAGCAACGAACCGATAAACCATCAACAGTGACGGGATCATTGTCAATAATTTCCTTTCTTGGCAAAATGATTTCATTTTCGTCCAATTTCATCTCTTTTTAAAACTTTTCTCTTTTTTCTTTATTTATCTTTTAAGTATATTCATTTGGGGGCACTAAACCCTTAACCTCCAGCGACGCCCATAGCAGTCAGTCAAATAGATATTTTTCTTTTATGATCCAAAATGCAGTGGACAATAAATTTCGAAGTGGGTTAGCAACGGGGGGCCATACCCTCATCAATATCCATCAAGAAATGTGACCGAGGGGTACCCCCAACATGTCCAATCGCTTTACACACTCTAGACGATTGCTACCTGACACATCCCCAAGTGTCTGAAAAGAATTCTTCAGATTCCAGTGAAACAATGACCAAAACAAAGCAGGGGGGTCCTCTCCGTCTGATATCTTGCTCCGTATACCTTTATCAAAGGGTCAGAAATTTGTTGCATTTGAAAAATAATGAGAGTAAGGCGATTTGGGGGATTACTTTTGTCGTGGAAGTCGTGGGTTCGAGTCCCGCCCGAGTACGCTTGTGTTTTTTTTCACAAGCCTTCGGGGGCAAACACTGTGTATGCAGTGCGACAATACACATCGGGCAGGGCAAAAAGCTAAAATTAACTGACTATTTTTGTGTTCTTTCCTTCCAAAAGCATGTAAAAAGCCCTAAAATATAGACACCTCATTACTCAGAAAGGTCATTTTTATTAACGCACAAAGAAATTTCCATTTTTGTTTTTCTTCCCGCCCCCCTGTCCCCAATAGAGGAATAAATTCGGTTCAGGATCCGCGCTTGGGTATAATGGTGCACCGTCGTTACGACCCATTATTCATACAGACGATTTTTTCGAGTCGGTGCACTCCAATATCTTGGTAGTTTGGTTTTAAGCCCAATATTTGGGGTTGTCTGTGATTCAGATTTCCTCCTACGCCTACCAGTCCGAGAAGCTGGACGAGCTGGAACGCCTGGAGAAACACCTCAACAAAATGAGGCAAATTATCATAATCAAGGGGGAGGAAGCGAGCGAGTTGGCAGGTAAATCTGGTCAGAAATAAAAGGTCAACATGGTGTTTCCACAAAATCCAAGGTAGCAAGATCTTATTTTGGGGAACCGTTTACCATTGGAGCAAGCTGATCGAAAACGCCGAGAGGCTAATTTGCCATAAATCCTCTGTTTCGAGACACCCTCATGCTGCTTATACAGTGGCGTATTGTAGAAGCGAAAAGGGGACATCCGGAAGCAGTAGCTTTAATAGCTAGGGTGAATTTTTTCAGTGAAAACAAGGCCGGGTAGACTTTGTACCAAAAGTACTGAAAGAACAAATGAACTATACGCTTGTGTCAAGATTTCATTTTCCGGACGTATCTGTCGCTATGCTGCTGTCACGAAACGTCCGAACTTTCAGCCGCACGACGCAGAGCTTGTTGTATTGCTCAGTTAATCTGGATTTTTATTAATTTTTTTTCTGTAAAACCAAATTTCCCAGATTGCTTGGATGTTCAGAGATCAGGAGTGAACGAGAGTGGAGTTTACACTATTACTCCCCCTGGCTTGGAGCCGATGGAGGTCTACTGCGACATGGTGACTGACGGGGGTGGTTGGACGGTAAGCTTTCGACGATGTGTTGTCGAACTTGTCCAGGGATTTAGACTTTTAAAAAAATGCCAAGAGAGATTCACAATAACTAGCAGTGAATGTGATTTTTATGAACGATTTCCACACACACACACACACAATACAAAGCTATAAAATGATTTTACACAGGTTGTATAAGGGAGTGCGCCCGTGAACTTGTGCTCATCAAAGTCATGGAATAGACGCTCATAATGATGTTCTAGAAACTATAGGTTCGTTCCCGTGTATCATGTAATAATTTCAAATTCAGCACGAGGTTAGTTTGAGCACGACACCATTGTTTCTGCACAGCCTAAAGCTGTTAATAAGAAAAAGACACTTGGACCAACCGTAGGGTCTAAAAGAAGTCTGATATCAATAACTGTATAGTAAAGCAACTTCATTAAACTTTCCGAACGACAATCACAATCGTCCAGGTCGTCCAGAGACGCCAAGACGGCACTGTGAACTTCGACCGCGTCTTTGAAGACTACAGACAGGGCTTTGGCGACCGGGCCGGGGAGTTCTGGCTCGGAAACACCGCCTTAAGAGGCCTGACGGAAGACACCGATAATGTACAACTCCGCATAGACATGTGGGACTGGGAGGACAATTACAGGTACGCGACCTACAACGGCTTCCGTGTCTCCGGATCAGACTTCACTTTGAGCTTCATATCAGGCAGCTACGATGGGACTGCTGGTGAGGAGACTAGCGCTCATTTCTCGTATCCGTTGAGTTAAACCATTTCTTTACCGAGTGTGGACTCACCGTTCTTGCAAAATGTCAAATGATTATGTGAACGCAGGTTGACTTAAAATGTGACCCAGTCTTTATCCATCCTAACAAATTGACTCTCAAGTATAGCGCATCTTTCACCTGTAAAGGCCGCTGTTTGTACTTCAGGCGAATGTGACAGTGAATCGAATTTGACGTCGCGAAAAAAGTGCAGCAAAATTTCGCTTGAGTTGAAATATATTGAACTGAGTTCCTAATTCTGGATGCAAAGGTAAAGTTGGTAATGTGGGGCTGCACTGTTTGGCCCTTATAATGAGACAATAGAGAAAACACAGACTAAGGCCGGTCTGCTGGACTAACTCCGTATCCGTGGATACGGAGGTAGTCCAGAAGACTGGCCCCAGTCTGGGACGAGGTCACCCCAACCTTCACGAAAAAATGATCCCGTTTTGTACCTCGCAGGCGACTCCCTCTCCTACCACAATGGCATGGGCTTCACCACGCGGGACCACGACGTGGACAGGGCGTCGGGCGGCAACTGCGGGGTGTGGCTGTACAGCGGCTGGTGGTTCGACCTCTGCCATCGGGCCAATCTGAACGGCCGCTACAAGAACGAGCTGGACGCCACCACGGGCATGGAGCAGGACCAAGGTATCCAGTGGATGGCCTGGAAGGGTAACCAGTACTCGCTGAAGAAGGCCGAGATGAAACTCAGGGTTGACAAGACGTCAAGTAAGTTAAATAAATTCACCAAAAAATGCTTCACCCGAACGCGTTGTGTTGGCTTTTGTGCGGACTGACTGTCACGGAACAGCGGCTCCGTGAAATCATAATGATCATAGCAGTTACTGCAATCGGCGGGGACCCACTGCTAAAGACCAATGGTAGACCTAGCACGGCCACTGGATTCGTCTCTAAGATGTTACCGTGGAGGAGATTGAATAATGAAATATGTTCTAATTCACGATTCCTATTACAGTCCCAGACCACTTCTGAGGAATCCAATCCTGCAAAACAATGTATAACATAAATATTTTCACACGAAGTCACAGACTTTCAATTTGTTTCCTCGTGCATAGCAGACACTTGTAGGGGTCCAACTGTTGATTTCTTATTCAGCTGAAGTAATGCGGGCGCACAAACCAGTGGTATGTCCCACAGGGACGAGTGGTAGGGGAACTCCCCAGAGGAGATGTTAAGGTATTCAATAAGTCAGCACTCTAGAAACAAGTATATCAACACTTTTCCGTGGGAGAACATCTTTTTGATAATTGAAAATAGAATTATAGAATTATACAATTGTGTGATTAAAGAAATCTCCACTTGTCCCTCACCAGGACAGAGGAGTGGACGAATAGGCTGCCCTCGTTGTGATCAGGTGTCGGCTCACTTTCAAAATCAAATTCATTTTTTATTTTTCCGTCTTTCAGATACATATCTTGCAGACTGCGCCAAGATCATGGCGTCGGGCAGTTCGGAGAGTGGGGTGTACACCATCGCCTCCGCAAGATTGAAGCCAGTCGAGGTGTACTGCGACATGGAATCCGCCGGCGGTGGGTGGACGGTGAGCCGTGATATTTAGCTTCCCGGGGGAGGGCAAAATTACCTGTTAGGCGTGGGATGTCAAAATAAATCCCCTGGTCTGAAATTGTTCCCCTTAGCGAAAACTGGGTATATATCACTTGTGCACTGTAAAATAAACGCGAATACGTTGGCTAGATATGAACAACTATGGGCAGAATTTTAAATTGCCATCTTTGAAGACGATTGGATGTTGAGTTAGCAAAAGAGAAAAGGCTGAAGTGTATTTACGGGCTGTATGGGCCTTGGTATTTGAGTAATTCTGAGCGATTTCCAAGTGTTTTCTAAGTAAAAGCCGAAATCTTCAAGTTTGGACAAAATGTAGGGAGAGAATAATTTTCATTTCGAGTCAATCCAGCTCCGGTGCTCAGGGTTTGAAAAACCATTTCGCGATTTCTTTTTCTGTCCCACCCCATTACAGGTCTTCCAGAAGCGGGAAAACGGCATGACCGATTTCGACGTGAGCTTCGAAGATTACGCCAACGGGTTCGGCGATGCTTCCTCCGAGTATTGGCTGGGCAACGACGCGCTCCGGAGCATGACCGACCCCGAACGCGGTCTCTTCGAGCTCCGCATCGACCTTTGGGACTGGAACGGCTCCCGTAGGTACGCCACCTATCAGAATTTCGCGGTGACCGGCGACAACTTTGTCCTGTCTCTGGGCGAGTACTCTGGCACTCTTGGTAAGTAATCAATACACAGTCACAGTTCGTAATCCTTCTATACAGGATTTTTTTTCAGAACTTTCAGTGATTCCCAGCATTTCCTTGTTCTGAAGACTGTGCACATTCATCGACATGATAGACGCCCCATTTCCATCAAAACTGTTTGAATGTTCATAAGCCAAGTCATTGTTTTAAGAGTGCATGCTCAAAATAAAGTGCGTCGCAGGTCATTCGAGAAAATCAGTTAATTCGCGCATCCGATGCCGTCCCTATCAGCGCGGCCGTATGCCGACTCACACGCTCTGGATGATGGAAGGACGTCGAACGCCCTTTTCTCGAATGACCTTACGTTTTCTGATGTTTACATCATACGTAATTAAGGTAAGTCATTTTGTGTCGTATAAGGTCGGCCTGTATTGAAGCACAACTACTTTTTCACTCCCCGTTTAATCCAAAGGTGACTCCCTGTCCTACCACAATGGCATGGGCTTCACCACGCGGGACCACGACGTGGACCGGTCCATCGCCGGCAACTGCGGGGAGTGGCTGTACAGCGGTTGGTGGTTTAACCTCTGCCATCGGGCCAACCTGAACGGCCGCTACATGAACGCGCTGGACGCCACCACGGGCTTCCGGGCCGACCAGGGCATCCAGTGGCTGTCTTGGAAGGGCAATAGGTACTCCCTGATGAAGTCGGAGATGAAATTCAGGCCGATGATGTGAACACGATTTCGTCAACGATGCTGCAGCGCAGCCGTAGGCCGAGCTCATTGTACGCATGCACGTTAAATAAAAGCCATACTTGCAGTTTTATCACCGGTTACAGTGGACTTTATAAGTCCCAGCCCTCGTTTTAATGTTGAAAAAATGTGACCCATTTTTCCCAAATCAGCCTATAGTATAATTCGACCACCAGAACATTAGAAGCCATTACTGCGGTGGCACAACGCTCGTGGACAGGTGTTACGCGCGCGTTACATGCCTCTTCGACCAATACGGTGTCGTGATTTGCCAAATGTACGCGCTCGTCAAGCTAAAGAATGTGTGCGTGAGTGCGGTGCCACCGCAGTTATGGCGTCTAATTGGATTATTCTATAAGCTATAATTTATTAGGATTTTATAATGTTTCCAACATTTGGAAAAATGCATTTCCACAACAGTACTTTTATTGCTCGTAGCTGTGCATACCAAAGCGTTCTGCAGACAATTTTTTTTCACCTTGAAGAACATGTATATGAAAAGTTACAAAGGGGTAGAGGAATTTTCAATCATTAAGAAGTACATATCAGTCTGGTTTTGGAAAGATGGGTCACATACCGTTCTCATAACATGGGCTACAAAAAGTTTAATTCCATTTCGGTTTATTCAGGTAAAGTTTGCTACGAAGACCAGATCTACGTTTTTTCAAAGTTTTATTTCCTCAAATATTCGGCTAGCATTTTCTAACTAATTTTACAAACTGATTCAACCGAAACAAACGAAAATCGTCAAATCAAACCAAATTCATCCAGGTGGAAACTTTCGCTCTAAAAATTATTTCCCCTCCAATGTTAGCAATGGTTTGAGGGAACCTCTTCTAACACGACTTTTATTATGATTTCCAACATCAGCAACAGTCGAATATGACTTGTAAGGTTTACGTGCTTTTTTGTATTACAACATGTATAAGTACTCAACTTTGTATGCGCATGAAAAATACAGAAAAAATAATAAAACGAAGATGAAAAACATTCCCAAGTGAGGACAGCTTCGTCTTCATTAAAAATTAGTGTCAGTGACAGTTGTAACAACATTGAAAATTCGTATATAAATCATCAGAGAGTGATAGGGAAAGACGTTGCGCGCTTTCGGAACACTTGGGAAAATTCGGTTTCGTTTTATCGTGGGCTTTTCCTTCGACCTCGGAATAACATACTTTACAACTGGAACAAGTGAAAACAACCCAACTGTTGGATTCACATTGGGCAGTTTGACGACACTGACTCAGAAAAAGGTAGCAATATTAGATGAATCTCAACTTACGACTTACGAAAGCTTGACACATAAGCAAGACACGTAAATGAGAAAGTATTTGTGTCGGGGACAAAGGGATAGGGGATGACTTAATTTTTTTTTTAAATACCCGACAGATGGAAATTTGAAAAGTGGGCGAGGGGGTCGGTGCTGATATCATTTGACACTATAGGGGCGCTGCTCATGGTACAGAATTTTGTACATCAGTAGGTATATTTCACTCACAAGCTCTGATTTATTACGTCAAGACGACGTATTTGAGTAACCTACTAAAAGTTGAAAATCAATAGAAAGCTGAATGACCCCAGAACACTTCGGGGTTTGTTTGGTTTTTTTGGGGGGGGGGGTTAGAGGCCCGAGGGACTTCGGTTGCCTGCACCGGGGGTGCAAACGTGGTCGATTTTACCTTGTCTTCAATGGGGCTTCAGTTAGTTCAGTTCAAGCACAGAAAGCAGTGAAAAATCAAAGCGAAATAGCGCCGCCTGTTGACTCTCGGAGGAGGTTTGTCTCGGGTTTTTTCACCGGAAATTCAAGATTATGGCCAGTAGATCACTTTTTGTTTCAATTTTATGGGTCTTAGCCACAACTTGTTTTTATTCGCCTTTTCCCAAAGATACATCCAAAATAATAAAACTGTTCGCCCAGCTCTGATTGTCTATCCAAATAGGCCCGAAATTTGGGGCCCAAACTATCCCTTTCTCTGACCAAATCACCAACACTCAAACTATCCTAACCCTAACGCCAAGAATATCCCTCACCCTGCTGTCCCCAACCCTACTCTCCTTAACCCTAACCACAAACCTATATATCCCTAACCCTAACCCTGACCCCTTTCCCTAACCACAACCCCATCCCTAACCCTTACCCTATCCCTAACCCTA